TGGCTACAGTTGTTCTAAAACTCATTTCAGATTTTATATGCAAAACTACCAGCACATCTTGGCTTTGGAATTTGCAATCAAAGAAATCAATGAGAATTCTAGGATCTTGCCAAACATCACCCTTGGTATCCATATGTCCAATAACTATATTCTGGCAAGATGGATTTATCTGGCTACCTTGGAGCTTCTCTCTACAAAGGGAAGATTCAATCCAAACTACAAATGTGACCTCAAGGACAATGTAATATCTGTGATTGCAGGACATAATGCTTACATTGGTCAGTTCATGTCAAACATTCTGAATATATATAAGATCCCACAGGTAAGAGCCATCCCATAAAGAAAGGAGTCAAATCTAAATACAGTATTTCTTGCTTGATTTAGTTTAATTTCTATTCCAAATTTTATCTTTATGACTCTATTAGTGTCAAAAACATTCAAAACAAAGGGATAACCAACATTGCCTCATATAGTTAAAATCACAATCAAGCTAAACATCAAAATATATTTCATCCAGGGTGGGAAAGAGAGGAATGATTTAAAATGCTAGAAAGTTATGTATAGCTAATCTATAGGGTAAATTATGTCATTGAAACATGTTTTAAGATAGCATAATCCAGAAGTTCATATCCATCCTTGCAGTTGGATATGAAGCAGTTGGAGCTTTGTTTATTAAAACAAAAAGAAACAATTATCATAGAAATTGTACTGGAATATATAAATGATAATCAACTCTGCCCTTGTCTGGAGCACATTAATATGTTGTGATCTAGGACCAAGTAGTTATTACCAGACACAATCAGTCCTAAACCAACATATTTTATAAGAACAGCTGAGAATTACTTCATTCTCAGCTTAGTCCAAATTAAGTCCAAAACAAATACTTCATAAACAGTCCTTCGGCCTTATCACCAATTTTGCCTACTTTGGCATTCTAACAAAGGCTTTTCTTGGCAAAAGTTCAGAAGCTTTCCTACAAAGATCCCAAGAGCTGTTACTCCTCTTTTAAGCCTTCTGGGAGGGCTCCCGAGTTGTCTTTTTTGCTTTAGCGTCTCTTGCCTTCTGGCAGCTCTTTGGAAATGTGCACTAGGAACAGGCTCCTCCTGTTCCTCTGCCTCTCTGCTATTCGCCTCTGGAGGTTCTGGAGTCCGTGCATCGCTCCCAGATGGTCCTGGCCCCATCTCTGCCTCCGACGCAAAGCTCTCATCCTGGCCTTCCCCTGACTCCAGGACTGGCCCATTGTCCTCCCCAGCCTCCTCCCTGTCCAACTCCATTGCCAGCTCTGCAGGCTGCTGGTGGACCATAACATAACATTTAAATAAGATCCTTAAAATAGACATAAGTGATTTGGAAGTATATACTCTAATTGTTTTCTTTTTCTTAGTTCATATATGGTTCTACTGCAGAGATAGATGACAACATTCAAGCTGCTTTCTTCCATCAATTATTTCCAAATGAAGACCTTCAAATTATGGGGCTGGTCCAATTGTTGCTTCACTTCCAGTGGAAATGGATTGGGCTCATTGTCCCAAACTCTGAAAGGGGGAAAAGGTTGATACAAAATAGGCTTCATATATTTTCTAAGAAAGGCATCTGTTTTGATTTCATGGAAGAAATGCCAATGGAATCTGTTGCCAAAGATATTGAAATTCAATTTAATTATTTTGTTTTGCTGTATAAGGCTATTATGAGAGGTACTGCCAATGTTGTAATCACATATGGTGAAAATGAGGACATGGCTGTTCTTAGAATGTTACCTTTTGCTTCAGAATATGAAGACATGCCAATGAAGAGAAAAGATAAAGTTTGGGTCATGCCAGCACAGATGGAATTCACATCAATCCCATTTCAAAGATACAAAAGCCTGGATATCATCCATGGTGCACTATCATTGGCAGTTTCCTCAAAGGAAATATTAGGGTTTAAGAAATTTACTCAGATGAGAAAGCCTTCTTCAGAAGAAGAGGACAGTTTGACAAGAGTGTTTTGGGAAAATGCATTTGAATGTTCTTTCCCAAATGCTGGCTTAGATGAGAACAGTGACAATCAATGCACTGGTGAGGAGTCACTGGAGACTCTTCCTGAATCTGTGATTGAATCTAGTATAACTGGGCAAAGTTATAGCATTTACAATGCTGTCTATGCAGTGGCCCATGCTTTGCAAGCCATGCTTTCATCTAAGAGCAGAAAAAGAGGAAATGCTTGGGAACTCAGTCAACAGTCCTGGCAGGTAAAAATGACATGAATAAAAATATCCCTTTATGTAAGGGCCAGTCATATAAATGTTCAGCTAATATTCTGGAGTTGTATAACTAATAAGAGCATTCTGAAGCTGAATTAACTCATATGTGATATGTCAGAACTTCAAATAATAATTCCGGATAACATTAAACACGGGATACAACAATGCACAATGAGAAGGAAGCAATGTCAAAGGTTAATTCAAGAGAAGTTTTGGAAGGAGTGTGGAGTAAATCAGTTTCCAAATGAATGGGACTGTTTAATAGGATGTAAGGAATGTATCCCTGTATCCCACAGTGGTTTGTGATAGTTCCATCAAAACATTCCACTAGGAACTGGTAAATCTTAAGATGCAAATTCTTCTTCTAAGTAAGACCATTTTTCTCTTTAAATAAGAAAAGAGGTGGAAGTAACTTGAGATCTATTATGTAATTACTTATGAATAGATATGCATGCATATTTGCCTTCCTTTTGAAATATAAGCTTTCTGCAGAAGTTCCCTCCACTAGTTTCTGGGTGGAATTTTGTCAGTGTCCTAGGTTAAGAATTAATACTTTAATTATTTTTGCTTATTTGCTTGGGTTCTGAGTTTTGATTTCACAGTGAGGAGAAGATTATGAGAGGGAGGGAGGGAGGGAGGGAGGGAGGGAGGGAGGGAGGGAGAAGGAAGGAAGGAAGGAAGGAAGGAAGGAAGGAAGGAAGGAAGGAAGGAAGGAAGGAAGGAAGGAAGGGCATTGAACTGCAGTGAGTCTTGATTATTTGCTTGGGGTCCTGCATTTTGATTCCACAGTGAAGAGAAGCGTATGAGATACATAAGAAAAAAAGAAAACAATGGCATTGAAGAGTGATCGATAGACAGTTCTTCATAGATCAAATGCTCACAGTATTTTGGTACAGCAGAGCTTGTGAGCAACAGCAAGTAACCAGGGTGCCATTAAGAGTCAACATTATTGGTCTAACTGACATAGATGATAATATTACTTCCAAGATGCATGGGAATACTAAAGGAATTCTAAATACCCAAATGTTTTTTAGAAAGGATGCAAAAGTCATTAGAAGGACTGTTAAGAGAAAATAAACGGCAATTTAGTCCCAGGAAAGAAGAGAGTGTGTGAGAGAGACTAATTCTGCCTTAGAAGGAAATTCCTGAAGGTATTCAAGTTTCTGTTATCATACCCCATAACAATAAATATTCCTCATATTATGTTTGCTGTTTGGTCTGCTTTAAAAGAATAACACCTAATGTATGAAAGATCCTACATTCACACTTGCTCACTACTTCCAATTGTTATAATTTTTTTTAATGATTTCCATTTAGTTCCATTGGTATCTGAAAGCTGTTTCTTTTAACAATAATGCTGGAGACGTGGTTTCCTTTGATGAAAGAGGAGAACTAGCAACTGGATTTGATGTTATCAACTGGGTCACCTTCCCCAACCAATCATTTCATCGAATCAAAATTGGAAACATAGCTCCAGTGACTCCCCCTGAAAATCTCCTTACTCTTTCTGCAGAGGAGATCATCTGGCCCACCATGTTTAACCAGGTAGTTTGGCACCAATATCAAACAATGGTGAATAATTTACTTTATTTATAGTTACTGCTTCAATGTTCAGAAAGTTCTTTCAGGAATTACAGGCATACAATGACTCTTTTCTCAAAGTGACTCGTGAACATGATTATCCTAAAATAAAAAACCAATGCAAAATGTTTGCATTGATTAGAAGAGAGATTTCTATCAAGGGGGATTTACAAAATATAAGGAAAAACTCTGTCCCAGAGTTTACATGATTTCTGGGAGTGTTGGAGTTTTAGAAGCAGGACCTCATAATAATAATAATAATAATAATAATAATAATAATAATAATAATAATAATAATAATAATAATAATAATAATAATAATAATATGATTATTATTATTTTATTTCTATACCGCCCTTCTCCCGAAGGACTCAGGGTGGTGTACAGCCTATTTAAAAACACAAAACAAAACAACGATTAAAATTTAAAATCATTAAATAATTAGGCTCCAATTAAAATCCCAGAAATTTAAAATACCCCAATTTAAAATTATTATGTTGATAGCCTGGCCTGGCGGAACAACAGGGTCTTCAGTGCGCAGCGAAACACCCGGAGGTTGGAGATCTTACGTATTTCCGGGGGCAGTTCATTCCACAGGGCTGGGGCTCCCACAGAGAAGGCCCTCCCCCTGCGTGTCGCCAGCCAACATAACTTGGCCGATGGCACCCTGAGGAGACCCTCTCTGTGGGAGCGGACTGGTCGGTGCAACACTATGTAAAGTGGCATGCTTTAGTAACACACAGCTTCCTAAAAATTGCAATCTGCAACATCCTCTGTGTAACAGATAGAAGTATATTAACAGTTTTCCTTCCCAGACACCAGTGGTGGGTTTCAAATTTTTTTACTAGTGGTTCTGTGGGCATGGCTTGGTCGGCGTGGCTTGGTTGGCGTGGCAAGGGGAAGATACTGTAAAATCTCAATTCCCTTCCCAATCCAGGAAAAGGTTACTGCAAAATCCCCATTTCCTCCCAATCAGTTGTTACTTGGGAGGCAGACAATAAATAGGGGCTGGGCCAGTCAGAATTTTTACTACCGGTTCTCTGAACTACTCAAAATTTCCACTACCGGTTCTCCAGAACTGGTCAGAACCTGCTGAAACCCACTTCTGCCAGACACCAAACACTCCTATTATGAAGTCAGCTTCATTTAATTAGCATCATGCAGTAAATGCAGTTAGGAGTGGTGTGGTGGCCTAGAGGTGAGTTCAATACTAGAGGCAGATATTTCTCTCTCTGGACACAATGAGAATATATCCGCTGAAAACTCTCTGCATTGGCATCAGGAAGGGCATCCGGCCAGTAAACACTTTGCTAACACTCCATTCAGTTGCCCAGACTCCACCCCATAAGGGATTATGGGGTTGTTAAACAAAGATGATGATGCAGTAAATGCAGTTATAAGGACTGCTGGGTACAAGAGGCTCTCTATTTCCCCACCATCTCTCTAATTCTCCATCAATGCTAAGATTTGTGTTCACTGAATCTCCATATGAGAAAAAGAGATGCTAAAGCCATTGAGGAAGTTTTGATTCATCCCCAGAGTTAGAATTACTGAACATGTTTGCAACATTATACAGTACATAGATGAAAGGCCTGTATTTCTTTACAAAGGTAGCAGTAAAGCATAAATTAACCTGGGATGGTTGAATTTTCATAGCCTATTTGAATATAGATGTCAGGGTTCCAAATAATACACCCATAGCAAACAAAACTATGAGGCAAGTAGATTCCTCAAAGAAAAAGCTTTATTGGCACAACTCTGGTGAAAACCAACTCTGAAGGTTCCTGTGGTTTTCACCTAATTAAAAGTAAAAGTATTTCCCCTTCCCTAATCAGTCACATGATCCAATCAAGGTGCCATCCGGTCGCCTGGTAATGTCGCTCCTCCTCTCTCTGGTCAGGTGTTAGAATGTCCTTGGTTCCCAGGGGAAAGTATTTTATTTTGGCTATAAAACACCAGCTATCTCTATTCCCCCCACCCTATCCCTCATCTCCAGTGTGGCAATGCTGAAGCATTAAAATGGCCATGGGCAGGTCAGCTTCAGGGTTGGCAATAGAATGGTTTGCAACTTAATCTGCCTCAAAGGTAAAACATTTCCAGATGGGGAGACTACATATATCTTTCAGGGTAATGATTTGATTTGGTCAAATCAGATTCGACACTAACAGAAATTACCATGGACCTTAGAGAAAACTAGATTCCAAACTGTTAGAGAAAAATTATTTCTCTATAGCTGTGCCTATTGATGGCTTTTGGAATGTACAGATGTGTGGGCCAATCAGAGGGCAGCTAATATATTTGAATCTCCAGGGCCCTCCCCTAACTGTCACAGTTAACAGTAAAAAAGGTGATTCTTAACAGAAACCCTAGCTCTTCAGTTTGGTATTCAGTTTGCTCTTCACCTTGCTGTTCAGTTTGCGCTTCTGTATAGTATTGTATTGTATTCTAGGATATTCCTTTAGATAACTGTGAGCAGTCTGGAAGTCCGTTAGAAGAGCAGTTCTGTGGTATAAAGTGGTATCTCTTCTGAGGAAGAATATTCATAGATAGCATAGATTAGAAAGAATAGATAGATAGATAGATAGATAGCTGACAGTATAATTTATAATAGTAATTTAGTGCTGTTTATTAATTGTATATATATTATTATGTTTTTATTGTGTAAATAAAAACATTTGCTGTAGGCTGCTTCAGAGGCTCATTTGTTTAAGTAGAGTTTCATAGAGATAGAGGTTCATGGTTTATTGATTTATTAACCTCCACAACACAAACCATTAGAAATATTTAATTAAGATGTGATGATTGGATGACTAACCCAGATACCATATCACTTTTTAGAAAAAAATATATAAGCAAAAGTAGCATAAGAGAAGTAAAATAACAAAGTAAAGGTGAGAAGATATTGCTTGATAAGCCAAAGGGTAAAATATCTACTATTTATAAATATGCATGAATCATTTTATTGTAAAATATCTGTCTGAAAATTGTTTGGAGTTTTAAATTGGAAAAAACTAGTTAACATAATGTAAATCACTAAGTAAAGCTATAAATGCAATGCATGGAGCCAATACTGGAAATCTAATTTTCCATCAGATTCAAAGATAGACTTTGGGTTGTGATATAAATTCTTTTATAATGTTATAGTGCAAGAATGCTTTCCAGTTAAAATGAACTTCAAATTTTTAAATACAAGGTTCTTCTGGTTATGGAAGTATTCCACAGTTCTTCCAAAGAAGCAATTAAACATCCTTTCAAGTAGACAATATAGAAGATCCTTGGAGCCATTAAGACATAATTTCATTTTAGAAACAAATCCTTTCTGAGGATTCTCTTCGTCATTTCACCAATTGTGGCAAAGGACATCTTGCTTGATTATACAAATAACAAAAGAGTATTAAAAAAATAACCAATATGGCTGCACTTCCTAAATTATACCACTTTCTGTCACATGGTTACCTAAGGATGTATGCTTCGTACAACATAGCCAACCCAAGCCTGTGTACTTATTTAATTGGTAAACATTTACCCAACATCATATTTTTGCAATAGAGTTGCATTTCTCATATCTTAAGTGTTGTTTGTAAGATGACTAAGGCTGCTTGCTTCTCCCAATTGTGTTTCTGGCCTGTTTGACAATACTTTGTTAATACAGTGATACCTCTGTAGTCATTGTTAATTGGTTCTGAGAGATGCAATGAGTAAACCAGGTACCGGGAGGGTACTGGGAAGTACCAAAAATGATGAGTAAACAACATTTTTCTCTCATAAGGAATAAGGTTGTGAGTCACAAGGTAGCCAACATCAACAAGTTTCAGCTTGTGCATTGAGTACCAAACAAATGATGAATTCAGTGAGTTTCAAAGCAGCTGAATTCCAAGGTACCACTGTATATGCCTTAAATACTAGTCAAATCCAATTCTTCAGATGCAAGAATTCCTGAAACGTTAAGTAAAAATTTCTCAATTTTCCTTCTTAATGTCCAATAGATACAGCCCTTTTCTATGTGTAATCCTCCATGCTCATCAGGTTGGAGCAAAATAAAAATAGAAGGAAAGCCCTTTTGCTGCTATGATTGCCTTAAATGCCCAGAAGGAAAAATTTCAAACAAGACAGGTAAGAGATCTAAAGCAGAGATTCCTCTGCTAAGTATTTTGTGCAATGTGTTATATTACTCTTTAATTATAAACCGTAGTTTACCATCTCTTTACAAATTTGTCCATAATTCATTTATCATAATTCATTAATCAATAATTCTGGAGAGATGTTGATTACTTAGGAGTCTATTCAAATATCATGACATCTTTTTTACTTTGGGAAATATAAACCAGATGATAAAAATAAATCTTTTCATCTATGGTTTCTATGAAAGTAAAGAGATTTCAAGATTGGGTGGAATAAAACTACTATCATTTTGGGAATTGCAGTTCAGAAAGTATAAAATAAATGGCAAAGGAGAGACCTCAGTTCAGCAGGCATAATTTCTTGATAGTGTGTTTTGGGAAACAAACAATAATTTAAATTTAGATTATTTATTTCTTTATGTATTCATTACATTTCTACTGTATACCATCATCTGAATTAAGTGAATCTGGACACTTTACAGGTTTTTACATACTCTCTCCACTCCTGTTCAATATTTATATGAAAGATGGACATACTATCCCTACCCATTCCCTCCAGGGATCATCCAAAAGAATGACCAAGGCTATTTCCATCCCATATCCAAGCCAGAAACCTGACTGAAACAGATCCAGATAATTCATTTAATCAAGGATCTTCTGGAGCTACAGCTCAACCACCTTCTCTAAAAAGGGCAGGTGGCAGACTGAATCAAAGTTATGAATTGTTTGTGTTCAGCAATATCTTCTTGAAAAAGGATACACACTTAATAGTGACTCTAGCTTGTTATTGTTCTTATTCATCCCTGATCGTTCTCCAGCAATGCTCTAGATGTCTCTTGACCCTTTTCAGCTCTCTCAAATCCTCCATGAAGTACAGAGAATGGCTGGTTCAATGGGATGAAAAAAGTTACATGGGCCTGACCCTATTCAATTCTATCCAAGCTCTCTGCTAACTCTCTATTCCAGTAATAGTGAGGGATTTGGCAGCCCCATAAAGCAGATTCTATGAAACAACTCCCCAACCTCACTGGAGCTGGACCAATTGAATACATCTTGCAAAAGGGGTTAGCATAGAAAAATCTCAAGGACACCAGGGCTTCATGTATCAGGGAGGGAGGGAGGGAGGGAGGGAGGGAGGGAGGGAAGGAAGGAAGGAAGGAAGGAAGGAAGGAAGGAAGGAAGGAAGGAAGGAAGGAAGGAAGGAAGTTAATTTTCAAATGCTCACTGTCAGGAAAGGAAATATCTCTGAAATGATGACTAATTCGGTAATGGGTTGTTGTCTATAACATTAAACACTTGACTGCAATAATTTATTTTCCAGATGCAGATGACTGTTTCCCATGTTCAGAAGATCAGTACCCAAACAAAGCTCACAACCTTTGCATTCCAAAACACATCACATTTTTGTCTCATGAAGAGTCTCTGGGAATTAACCTGACAGCTATTGCTTCCTTCTTTTCTTTAATCTCAGTTATGGTCCTGGGAATCTTCATTAAGCATCGGGACACCCCCATTGTCAAAGCCAACAACCGGAACCTCACCTATATTCTTCTCATTGCTCTCCTCCTCTCCTTCCTCTGCACTTTGCTCTTTATTGGCCAACCAGATCAAGTAAAATGTCTCATGCGACAAACTTCTTTTGGCATAATCTTCTCTGTAGCTCTTTCTTGTATATTGGGGAAAACAATCATAGTGGTCCTTGCTTTCATGGCCACCAAGCCCGGATCCAAAATGAGGAAATGGGTGGGGAAAAGGCTGGCCAACGCTATAGTTCTTTCATGCTCTTTGACACAATTCTCCATTTGTGCAGTGTGGTTGACAATTTCCCCCCCATTCCCAGATTCTGACATGCACTCCATGGCTGAAGAAATTGTCCTAGAATGTAAAGAAGGTTCAACCACTATGTTTTATATTGTTCTTGGTTTCTTGGGATTCTTGACTGCTTTCAGCTTCTCAGTAGCCTTCCTAGCTAGGAAGTTACCTGACAGCTTTAATGAAGCCAAATTTATCACCTTCAGCATGTTGGTCTTTTGTAGTGTCTGGATATCCTTTGTTCCCACCTATCTGAGCACCAAGGGAAAATACATGGTAGCTGTGGAGATCTTTTCCATTTTGGCTTCTGCAGCTGGATTACTGGGTTGCATCTTTTCCCCCAAATGTTACATTATTATTCTGAGACCTAATTTGAACAGAAAGGAACAGCTGACAAAGAAATGAAACTGATTTACTTGCTCCTCTCTAAATTGTGACAAAATCCTCATTTGCTTAATTAAAGGGCTACTGACCATCTTGAAGAACTGATTCAAAACTAGTTCTTTGGTTTTTTAAACCAAAAATATGCAGTTGTGAAATATAACATTTTGAATGCAATTCTTATACCATGTTTCCTATATAACCCTGGCAAAACTGATGGGCTTTGGGTACAAGGAGCTGCAGGATGTGAGAATTTTTCATCCTTAGTTCTGTGTTATCTATTCAAACCCAGTTTGCAAGCTGGGGGTTCTCTTGAAGTCACAACTCCAGCTTGAAGAACAGACGGCAGGTGTAAGCACGGGAGCTTTTGCATGGCTCCAGTTTCTTCACCAGTTGTGACTTTTCCTGGATCATGACTCCCTGTGCTTTGTTACTCAAGCCCTGGTAATCTCTCATCTGGACTACTCCATCTACATGAAGCTACCCTTGAGGTCTGCTCAAAAGCTTTAGCTGGTCTTTGGGTCCTCAAGAGTGATCCAACTCTGTTCCAAAAACTTCACTGGCTACCAATGTGCTTCTGACTGCAGTTCAAGGTGTTGGTTATGACCATTAAAGTCCTTAAGGGCATAGGTCCAGGCTCTCTGATGAACTTCCTTATCCTGCTTGTGCCAGCAGAGTCTGTCTGTCCTGCTTGTGCAGCAGAGAGTGCCTATTTTGGATCCCGATGTTCAAAGATCTCTGATTATTGGGATCCAGAAGAGGAACCTTCTCTGCTGCAGCACCTACCCTTTGGAACCTTCTAATCCTGTAAGGTAAGATCCACCCACCCCCTCCTGTCCTTTCACAAAAGCCTTAAGACATGACTCTGCCAATTGGCTTTGGGATCAAATGGGAGTTTAACACATGAGGTAGATTGATGGCAGACTCCACCTTCTCACTGCTTGTCTCTGCTCTCCACCCATCCATCTTTTTAGTTTTCATATCGATGTATTATTTCCCTGTATTCCTTTGTCATTGTTTATTTTATGGTTTTATTATTTCACTTCTGTTCTATTTACATTCTTTTCATTTTCCTTCTGTTTCGTTATCGTAAACTGCCTAGAATAGGCCCACAGAAAGATAGGTGGCAAATAAATGTAATAAATCAGTAAGTAAATAAGTAAGCCAGTAAGTAAGTCTAGGTGGATTTTTGTGAGAAATAGAAAAGTACACCTGCCGTAAGATATATTGAAGGCTGTCACAGAAGAAAGAGACCATAGGAGCCTGAGGTGTGACATACTAATGAGAAAAATAAAGGTAAGGAGGGAGGGGGAAAGTAAGGAGGAGGAAATGTGATAAAGTTTGAACTTCTTTTCTCATTTTGTTCTACTTTAAAAAATAATAATAGCCCAAAAATAAGGGGGAAAAAAGAAATGGGTGAGAAATATATAGATCACAGAAAAACTTTGGGGATAAGTTAATAACTAAAAGTGAACTCAGAGGAATGAAAAGAGGATATAAATACCAATAGCAATAGCACTTAGACTTATATACCACTTGACAGTGCTTTCTAGCCCTCTCTAAGCGGTTTATAAAGTCAGCATATCACCCGCAACAATTGGGTCCTCATTTTACCCACCTCAGAAAGATGGAAGGTTGAGTCAATCTTGAGCTTGGTGAGATTTGAACTGCCAAATTGCAGGTAGTCAGCCCTCAGCAGAAATAGCCTGCAGTATTACACTCTAATCACTGTGCCACTGTGGCTCAATAAATGTATTTATTTGTAGGATTAGGAATTGCTTTTAAATATTGTAGGAAACTGACATCTACATAATAATACCAGCTTGCCAATATAATTTTCAGTTAACAGATGCCACTAATTAAACCATAATAAGTAGCAAATGCCAAAACTCAGCAAAACTGTGCATAAATATTTATATCTCAATCAATCAGCATAGAGCTGGAAGAGAAGTGGAATGTTAGGAAGGAAGGAAGGAAGGAAGGAAGGAAGGAAGGAAGGAAGGAAGGAAGGAAGGAAGGAAGGAAGGAAGGATTTGATGACTAATTTAATCTATAAATAAAACTGACTGCTAAAGTTATTTTAGTATCTGCATATTATCATATGCTCCAATTTATTTCTCCATGAGGTCAACGCAGTACTACCATGTTTCCCTGAAAATAAGACAGGGTCCTATTTTCTTTTGACCCCAAAAATATGGCCTTGGCCTTATTATCAGGGGTCTTATTATTTTTGAGATGCAGGACCTCAAAACCTTGGACTGGTACCGGAGTGCCGATCAGCTGCTCTCCTGGTGCAGCTCAGGCCGCTGCCTCTAGCAATCGCAGCTCCAATGTGCTCAGTTTGGAGCCATCATTTGGGCGGGGGGGGAGAAAAGGTCATCAGGGGCCAATCCCAGGGGAGGCAAACAGCTGGACATTGTCATGCCCTTTGCAGGGCCTCCAGAACTGCCTCAGAATATCTTCAACAGTAAGCATGTCTCAGGAGCACAACTTACAACTGTGAGACGACTCAGAGTGTCTCAGCACTCCCAGGAGCACTGGGTGACAGGGCAGGTGGGTAGTAGAGGGGGTGTGGTGGCAGGAACTGTTTAAAGGTGGTGGGGAGCACCAGTGAGTCAGCACTCACTGACCATCCAAGTAATAAACAATGCAAAGAAAGGATGTTAACTCTGTCAATCCTTTCTTTGCATTGTTTATTACTTGGATGGTCAGTGAGTGCCAGAGAAGATAAAAGCTTCAAAGCTAAACATCGTTTGGCTGGGTTTTTTTCTGCGGAACCTGACAGTTTGACAGTGCTCATTACCATGGCTGAAGGTACAGGAGGTTAGAGGCAGCTGATTTGGAGGATTCTTCAGCAGCAACCGAAGTCACTGTACTGAACGCCATACTAGACCTGGCAGGGGAGGCATCCCTGGACATTAGACCCAAAGACCACTCCAGCACAAGGGAGCTTCCTGTGGAGCATGGGGAGTCAGAGGCTGGACAAAGGCCACCAGTGCCCAGTGGGGAGTGGGATCTGGGCCACTCTGCCATCTATTTTTCCACTTACCCTGTAAGTGCCCAGTGGTGGGAAAGGAGGATATCAGATGATGATTGGAGCTACTCCACTGCAGTCAGCAGCCAGACCATAGACGTGCTGCAGGAGATGTTCAGGGTGGTGGGGTTTCATGAGCCAGGACGTGGCAGTGGATGGCGGGACCAGGCTTCAACAGGCCACCCACCACATGGACCCCAATGGCCAGGAGGGATGGCTGGTGGGTTTTAGGTTCCCAGCAGAGACCTCTTGTATGAACCCCAGGAGAAGCCGGCAGGGACAGACTGATGGCCACCCAGGCCGGGTAGTTACCAGACACATCAGTTCCCCGGAGGTCAGTGCATGCTGTGGGAGAGGACACCAGGATATGAGAACTACTCCCCCCTAGGCCATGTAGGCCATGGAACATTGGGAAGTTGAGATCCACCACCAGTGCTGGCCAGTGCTGGCCACATTCAAGGGCAGCCCAGAGAAATAGCCATTTTCCTGGGCCAAGTGTTAAACCACCAAATGTTACGGCCATTTATACACATCCAATTGGGACATGTTAATGGTGGTGGCATCAGTAATGAATGGAGAGACCGCTGATAGGGTGGCAAACCTCTAAGGGGAACATGCTGCTGAACTGGGCGACGTTGGTCTGTTCTTAGCAGCATTGCAAGAGAGATTAAAGGACAGTACAAGGATCCAGGAAGTGGAGGGTGAACTGCTCATAGTTAAACAATGGGGGAGGCCTGTACGAGAATACATCAGGGAATTCCATCACCTAGCTGGCAAGGTCCGGGGTTGGTCAGAGTGGCTGATTGTGCATCACTTCAAGGTCGGCCTTGACTGTGCTCTACACTGCACTTGTATATGCCAAGGACTGCCCCCAAGATTGCCAGCATGGTTCCAGGCCACAATGGAACTTGATGTGGAATTCAGGGAGGACAGAATAAAAAGAGAGTGGGAAGCCTGAGGACAAAGTCGATTGCCATCTCCAACCTGGACCAAAAGCCATGTGCCACAGGGCCCCCTGCCATCCGTAATGACCCCTCTCCCTGGGCCTGGAAAGCCGCCATCAGTCAAGTGCTGATCATGTGTTTCTGGTATGGGTGGCAGGGGTACAGGGCTGCTGACTGCTCTGACAACTGTCCAAAGGAGTCCAGTAATTCATCCAGCACAAAGAAGGGAATGGCTAGGAAGACCATCCAGGATGGGCCAAAGAAATCATGGGGGGAGAGCCAGGCAAGCAACCCCACTACTGAGTTTAGTGGTACAGTTGACACCCCTGAGGCCAGTCGAAGCAATGAGGAAGGAGACTCTAATGTCAAACCATTTGTCATACCGATGGTGGTAGAGGCAAGCAAACGAAGGAATTGTACAGCCCTGATTGATTCAGGGTGTACTAGTTGTTTAATGAGTGCTACGGTACCCGCCAGTTTGGGGGTAGGCCTTAGGTCATTGGGAAAGCCAATACACTTTGAGCAAATTGATGGGTCATTGTTGGCCATGCATGTCACAGAGAGGGTGGTACTGGAGATAGGGCAACATCGAGAGACAGAGGTTTATCGTGGTCCCGAGCATTACGGAGGAGATAGTACTTGACCTATCATGGTTAGATAAGTGGGGCCCAATGATATGGGGGGGGGTTGGCTCTTGCCACCTGCCAATAGGGATTGGCCCTAAAACCAAGACCAGATAGGGACGGCCGAAGTATCACACCACCCCATGTTAAAACAACGGATGATGGAGAATTCCCTAGAGTATATGCAGACCAGAAGGAGGTGTTTAGCGAATGAATGTTTCACCAGTCCACAGATTGCACTATTGAGATCCTCCCCAGGACTAAACTACGCAAGCCCAAAATGTACTCTATGACCCCACAGGAACTGACAGAGATGAAGGCATACATAGAAAAAAATCTTAAAAAGGGATTCATTCAGCCAGCAAGGTCCCGGGTGGCAGCACCCTTCCTATTCCGCAAAAAGAAAGATGGGGGCTACACCTTTGTGTTGACTTCCGAGACTTTAATGCAGTCTGTATAGAATACTTATATCCTATCCCATTGATGAAGGATTGGAGGAGGGCAGTG